ATCAATCCTTCCCCAGGCTCCTGCCTTGTAGGGAGATGTCTGTGCAACTGGGAAGTTGCAGGAAATAACCGCTGTCATTTACGGCTTTTCTGTCACAGCCGTACCTCCGTGTCACTTTCAAGAATCTTTATTCTTCGTGGGCCATCTGTAGGATTACCACCTCCAGAAAGCACATAGTGATTCCCTCGTCAGGACGGAACTGTGAGGTGTCTGGGCAAATTCTCTCCAGGCAGTGCGGGGAAGAACAGCGTTTGATGATTTTTCTTTCCCCCTGGACTCTGGGGTCTGGGCTGGGTGCTCCTCTCTGTAAGCTCAGTCATCCTGGTGGCCACCTTTTTGCAGGTTGGCCATGCTAGGCTCTTCTGTGGGTTCTCCATGGGCACTATTTCTTACTCTTCACAAAACCTGGGAAGGTGGGCAGGTTGTTGTTTGTTTGTTTTTTTTTCCTGTTGATAACCCCAGTGCAGAGTGTAGGAGCTCAAGCAGAGTAAATACTTTGCCGATGTCTTTCACATGCCTGAATCATTAGTGGGTCTTTTCAGTTACTGAGGCCACAGGTGCTCCTGTTGATTTTTATGAAAATCAGCTCATTTGCCTGGAAAATGCATAATCCTCAGGCTGCTAAAAGAACATCAGAAATTGCAAGACTCTTGATTCATTTCTGCCCATTTCTGACATGTACGAGTGTCCTGGGGGCTGGGTGCCCCCATACTCCATCTTCAGAGTAGTGGTGGCCACCCATTTTTCAGAGGAAGAAGCCAAGGCCCAGAGACCCCTGCAGTTGCACAGCAGGTCTAGGGAGCTCAGAGCTGGAGCTTGGGTGGCCTGCCGGACTTCCCTCTGCTTCCCTTCGAGCTGTAGTGTACATCCTGAAAGATCCTATTTAAAGATGTAATCCAGACCCACTGCCTCGACCCTTCCTACAAGTGATGTAAACAAGTTCAGGATATTCCGAGAAGGAGGCAAGGTCAATAGAAAGCCTGTAAGGGCTGCATTTCCTCCCATCTTCTCCTGGCTTCCCTTCCTCTCCTCTCGGCTCCTGCTCAGGGTTCAGATATTCCTATGAACATTGAACAGGCTCCAGCTTCAAAGTCCCCAGACACGTGTGCTAACCACTTTGATGGCGCTGTTGGCTGAGTGGGCGTGGCTTCCTGTGTCAGCGCTGTGAGTAGGTGCGGCTTGAGTAGGGTGAGCCCTCAGCCTCCCGCTGTATGGGCTTATTGTACCTTGCAGCATTAGGCTTATTGCTTACCCTGCAGAAGGAATTATGGTACCTGCCTTGGAAGTCCATCTCATATACTGTAGAAAGAATGTACTTGTAAGTCTTCAGCTTGCATTAGGTACATAGATAATGTTTGGCATTTGGTAGGTAGTTATTTTCAAGGCCCAAACTTGAACCCGGTCTCTCTGAGTTCAAAACACTACCTTGCTCTCTGAGCCAATCATAGCAAGTATCCTTACCTGTGACATGGAGGAGAGGGGTGAGGAAGCTTCAAAGGGAGCTTAGCTAGGAGCTGGAGGGGCAAGGAAGTAGTTGGAATCTCATGTTTGGACCTGAATGGGAGAGGATGCAAAAGGACTTCAGATTTGGCTCAGCAGAAAGAGCTTTGAGGTGGTGAGGTTTGTCTTCTGAAGGCTGACTCAGGAGCTGGTCACATTCTTGCAATCATACCTGCCTTCCCCTTTCCCCGACAGTGTCTTGGGTGTTGTAATCCACATCCGGTCTCCATACTTTTCCCCGTTTCAGTCTGGCCAGGTCAGCCGAGTAGGGGCTGTTTTCTTTCCTTTCCAGGTGAGCACATCAAAGCTCCGAGGTTCACCGGCATGACCGTCTCTCGTTCTTGTGTGGAGCGTTTGCTCTGTGCTAGGTGCTCATTTAGGTAGTACAGATATGCAGCAAACATAGGAGCTGTTCTCAGCATAGATAGAGAGCAACTTTCAGATTCACGAACTCCTGGAGGTGGGGAGACAGTGATCATCCCCAAATGACCACTTAAATAATATATAAATTATTACCGTATAAATGCAAAACTATGGAAATGTAAATGCATTGTGACCCCAGAGATGATGGGGGTTGGGGGTCCTGCTTTATGAAGGATGGACAGGCAAGGTCTCATGAATAGAGTTCACTCCAGAAGAGGTGTGAAAACGGGGCTGGGCACATAGTGGAAGGGAGCATTCGACAGGAGGACACCCTGGGCAGAGGCCTCCAGACAAATCATGGTCAAGCAGAGCATTTGAGAGAGAAGAGGCTGGGATGGAGAGGGGCAGGAAGCATGGCTCCATACAGGCGATGGAGGGTGGTGGGGTCGGCCAGCAGCCATGGTGAAGATGTTGGCCCCACGTGGATGAACTCAGACACCACTGGACATTTTGGCAAAGGAGCCCGGCCCAGAACCTGAGTCGTCTCTCTGGTTCGCTTTTTTCCCGGGCTTGTCCCTGCCACAGAGGTGGGACGGCCTATCACTGTGGTTGCTCCTTCCACAGTTCTCATGGTTCCTGTAGCCACTCCACTGCTGAGGCAAGGAAAGTGGGGCTCGGGAGTCTGACTCACCCTGGGAGCCAAGCGGCAGCTTTAAGGGTGAGGGGAGAGTAGAGGGAGCTGTGGAGAGAACCCCTCGGGTCTGTGGATCGAGATCCCCTCTCTCCCCGTCCTTCCTCTCTGCTCCTTGGATTTGAGCAACTTACCTCCATCTGATCGCGGAACGTCTAGCTAGGTGGGTGGGCCAGATCTACCTGCCTTCTGAGATTAGGAAAAACAAAAGGAAAACAGAGATTTGGTTTTAGTCAGCACATTTCTAGATTAGCATATCTAGAACCTTCCTATTTTTATAGAGCATTACCTATAGGAGCCGGAGAAGAACTCATGTACTCTAGATTATAACAGAATGTGGGTGAAGAGCGAAAGGAGATGTGTCGCTATATATGACCGAACCCCAGCATGGTAAAACTGGCAGAGACTTTGAGACTACGTGTCCAGATGGCTGCACGACTCTCAGTGTACTTAACTCCAATGAATTGTGTGCTTAAAAATGGTAGCTTTTATGTTATGTATATTTTCCCACTTGAAAAATAGCTTACAGAAAAGATTTCTCTGTTCAGTGCTCCTCTTTAAGACTGAGAAATAGAAAGGGAATAATGACTCAGCCATAGCCATGCAGCAGGTGAGAGATGGAGCCTGGCCCAGAAACCACCTCCTAGCTCTCACCAGGCACTTTTTTCTGTGACCATAGTCATTACTTGCTCCTCGTGGAGATGTGTATGGGGGAGTAGTCACTCTTTGATCTTCAGGACTCCCGTAACCCAGATATGAGATCTTAGAATTGGCCTAGATTTCTCCAAACCTTGTGCTGTACAGAGCTCTCTGCCTTGCCCCTTTGGCCCATTTGAATCCCTCCTCCTTTCTGCCAGTCTCTGAGTGGTGATCACCCTGAAAGGCTGAGACCCACAAGTGGAGGGAAGGGAGAGAAACCGGATGGTCTTGAGTCACAAGCTCCGACTACACCTTGGCCCCGAGTGGTTTCTGCAAGCACTTTCTTCTTCTTGCCTCACTTCGCTGTGGGACCAACATGGCGGACACTTGGATGTGCACTTTCACAAGGAAGGGAATAGGTGAGGTTAAGGATAGGGAACTCTTTAATCCTAACTCAGCCCTCCTGTCCCTTGCCACCTTATCAATAAGCCTTGGTGGGTCCATGTGTTGACCTGGGATGAATTGAGCATATAAGGCCTGAGAACTGTTAGGACTCTGCAGGGCAGAGTTCTGGCCAGGAGTGCAAGGAGACCATCTCTGCTTCAAGTACTGGACAGTAGCAGAGCCTGACCTCCCACTCAAAGAACAGGAGGGCAGGGAAACAAGCAATCTCAGGAGGCATCTGGGCTGGGGAGAGAAGGTCAGATGAGGAGGAGGTGCAGGGCAGGGGTGGTTCTCAATTACTTTCTGTGCAGCTTTCACGAGTGTTCTACATCCTCATTTCATTCACCACTGGTTAGGAAAGTGAATTATAAGAAGTCAACTCATTTCCAGTGCTATTTCCTGAACACTTTCTTTCATACCCAGAGGTGGCATAGAGCCTTGCTGTGTAAGGATGAGTGTGAGGCTCAAGAACTCAGAGCTTCATAGGATTTCTCCATCCCTTTTCTTCCCCAACAGCCCAAGGAGTGTCCTACAATTCCAGTCGGCCACCACCACTGTCCTTGAATGTTAGGGGGAAGACTGGGGGCTGTGTGAATAGTTTGAGAAGGATCTTGGGCTCCTGCTGCTATTCATACACAGACACCCATGCATACACACATGTGAGAAAGCAGAATGACAGGTGTTTGGCACAGGCAGAAGATACAGGTGACTTAAGTCATGTGATAGTCCCAGGTCAAGGGGCAGGCCCCAAAGGGTGATGGACAGGACAGGAGTCAACTTCAGCAGGGAATCTGGGATAGACTGATGGAGGGTTTGGCCTTAGAAGAACTTGGTGATGAGAGTGCAGTCTTGCTGGAACATTCTCTGCCTGTGTCGTAAAGAAAAGACAACTGGTAGAGCAAAAAGAGCAGCAGGATTGATGTTGAGAGATGTGTCCATTCCAGGTTCTCCATTTTCCTGCTAAAGGGTTCTAGGCAAATGGCTCAAACTCTTCTGAGCTTGATAGTCCAGTCTGCAAAAGTGGATAGTGAAATCCTTCATGTCTACCAAAAGCTTTATTGTGAGGCTGGAATTGAACTAATAATATGTAAGGTCTTAGCGGATTGCATTATATCATGTTAGCCAGAAACTGGCTGGAAGTTGTGGGCAGAGCTGCAGGTTCTTAGTTGGTCGGATCTGGGTTCGAATCCTGTATCATTATGTAAATGTGAGGAATGTGTGGCTGCTCAGGTAAATGAATGACTGAATGGATGAATGACTATGAATAAGGCAGCGTTATGCCAGGAGCTATGTTATGATGATGGGATTAATGGGACCTCTCAGAGCACCCTCCAGAACTTATATTTTCCTCCTTTTCTTGCAGGACTCGGGTCAAGCTGGAAAGCCTGGAAGATGCCTACATTCTGCGGGGAGATGACGATTCCCTGTCTGACAAACATGGCTGCCCGGCATATGTGAGCCCAGAGATCTTGAACACCAGTGGCAGCTACTCGGGCAAAGCGGCTGACGTGTGGAGCCTGGGCGTGATGCTGTACACCATGTTGGTGGGGCGGTACCCTTTCCATGACATTGAGCCCAGCTCCCTCTTCAGCAAGATCCGGCGTGGCCAATTCAACATTCCAGAGACTCTGTCGCCCAAGGCCAAGTGCCTCATCCGAAGCATCCTGCGGCGGGAGCCCTCAGAGAGGCTGACCTCCCAGGAAATTCTGGACCATGCTTGGTTTTCTACAGATTTTAGCGTCTCGAATTCAGGATATGGTGCTAAGGAGGTGTCTGACCAGCTGGTGCCAGACGTCAACATGGAAGAGAACTTGGACCCTTTCTTTAACTGAGCTCATGCCCCACAGAGACTTAGCAGGTACCAGGAGCAAGAGAGGGCAGTGGAAAGTTCTTCCAGGGAACACATATTGCCTGGCTTGATAGCAAGACAGACACACACACTCACAAGTTTCTTGGTTCAAAGAAGGAAAACCTTCAAGGAGCTGACTAAACATGTAGCATGGGGCAGGAGGTGTGGGACAGGGGCTGGGGTCGGATGGACGGGAGTCCCTGGGAGACCACCCCTTTGCCAGTTGGGCTGCTTCCGCCTACCCCACTTTTCATTTTGTTCAAAAATAGTTGCAGATCCTGACAGAATCAAAACTCTCTGCCTCAAACACACATCTTGGCATCGCACTGTTAGTATTTAACTTCTTGTTATGATTCAGGGAAGGAACAATTGGCTGAGGATTTTTTTTTTTTTTAAACAAGCCAACCACCTATCTGCTAATTAATGGGGTTCACTTAAAAACAAAATTCGGTGCACACAGACTGTCATGAAACCTGGGTGCTAAAGTTAAAAAAAAAAAATCAAAAGTCCAGTTTGTGTCTCTTAATCGCTCTCTTCAACTCATTTCTTCTAAATAAACTATTTACTATCCTGGTCAGGAAATGACATGTTGATGCTTGCTCCCTGAAGGGGAAAACAAAAATCTGTCCTTTAACAAATTCTTCTGTTTTGTGTCAATTGGTTTGTGGCAGGAAGCTGTTAGAAGTCCAGCTTCCAGATGCATCGCTGCTGTCATAGTTTGAAGGGGAAAGACAAGGGAAGAAGGAAGGGGAGAAGTGGAACTCCTTTATTTTCTTCCTTTGAACAGGGAGGGTTTGCATTATGGGATTACACATTGAGATGGTAGCAGTGGCCTGAGCTAGCAGGGAGCTCCTGGATTCGGACGCCTTGGCAACACTCCAATCTCACCTAAACATTTTGTCTTTGTTTTATTGGAAACTAGTGAAACAAAGCAGGTTGTCCCATGTGTATAAAATACAGGGCAGCTATTTCGTTTTCTTTACGGAGAATGATCCTTTTGTCTTGAAAGGCCCTCTGGTTTGGACAAAACCCTCAATAGAGATAAGCAGGAAGGATAATAAGCTGAAAGCTAGGATGATATAAATAAAAACAGCTCTCTGTCCCAATACGCACCTTTGTATTTTCAAGAACTCTTCTATTTATTAAGGAAAATGTCACATTGTGATGTATTAAGCCAGTACTTCAATTACGGGTTGACTTGGGATGACATGTTACATGCTGTAGTTAAACATATGTAATTTTTTTTCCTGTTTGAGTATTTCTGTCCCTGAAATAACTTTTTCTTTGCTTTTCTAGATAGCTTTATTTGGTTTCGAGTGGCAAGATGTTTTTGTTCTGTTTTCTTTTTCTTTTTTTTTTATTACAGCTTTTCTATTGCTGTACGATACAGAACTCTTTTGGCATAAATATTTGTGTTTCCAGTACCTCAGTTGTTTGGATTTACTGCCTGTATATGTTTCGTGAAATGGTCATGTTTTTGGGTAGGTAACACGTGGACTCTAGTATGTAAATGTTACTTGACTCTGTGCTTCATTATAGTATGTGGCATGTATGTTCAGACTCTTGGATGCTTCATGCCTGCTCCGCAGGGGGCCTGCCCTTCACGTTCCCCGGAGGGCGGCTTCACGTTCATAATCAGGTGACAAGGCGGCCATGGATCTGCCCTCGATTCTATTTTGATAACGGAGGATATAAAGGAGAGAGGTTTTTTACATTCTGAAGATGGTGCTGTGTCAAGAAGGACCTTTTTTTCCTTCCCTCTTCCCTCTTTTTTAAGTACCTTGTAGGAGGAAAGATTGGTGATGTGCATGGTGGGGATCTATGGCCTCTGGTGCTTTGTCCTGTACTTGGTTTAATGTTTTGTCCTAATCTCTTCAATCAATAAAATTGTGCGTATTTAACTAAGATTCCGGGGTCTGGAAAATGATGGTCTTCTGCCAGCTGTGGTCTGTGGTCACCACACACCAACCCTGTTGTGGTCACTCCCATAGGAATTCAGTCCTTCTGAGTGGCCCATTGCTGCTATTTATAAAAAGCGAAAACTACCTTTCCTTGTATTTGGCCTTTGCTGGCCATTCTAGATGTAAATAGGTCCCTGAGTTAACCCTACAACAACCTTAGGAGGCATGAATCACACTCTTGTCACAGGTGAACAAAGAAGCTGGGAAAGGTGCATACCTTGTCCAAGACTAAGCAATTTGTAACTGATTGAACCAGAGCTGGACCCCAGTTCTGTTTAATCCCAATTCTGTTTGCTCTTTCTATGCTGGTGGAACCCAAGGGTTTTCAGGGATAGTGTGATATAGCTCTGGAGTAAACAGCTTACCTGGAGCCCAGAGAATCCAGGCTTCCACATGAATTTGCTGTAAAGACACCATGTGCTGTAGACCTAATAGGGAATCTCCAAGGAGACCACCCAAGTCCTGGTGACTCCTGTCTACCCAGCAGCCCCTCCCTCAGGCTGAGATCCACAGAGCATGAGTTAGATGGGCTCTACAGGAGGTCTTACCTGTCATGTACCTCTTAAGCAGTTCAGAGAGGTCCATCTGGCTCCTGAAACGTTCAGTAAGCACCTCTATCATTTGATTGCCGGTGGGGAGAGACGGTGGCAGTCAAAGGCAATGGGCAGAACTGAATGTTGGGATAAGCACACCCAGGATTCATGGAAGCCCACAGGGTAGCAACTAACCTGTCTAGGTCAGTTAAGAGGTATCCTGGAGGGGTGGTACCTGAATGAGTCCTGGAAGAAAAGGACCTAGGTAGTGAGATTGACGGCGGGAACTGTACGAAAAGTGTTTATAGACTTGCCCAAGTTGACACATCCACATCATCGGTGTCCATGCAGAGATGAGTCTGGGGCCTGTGAGAGGATGAGACTGAAGCAGAGACTTTCTAGCTGATTGGACCAGCCTTCTAAATTCAGAAAGTGCTTATCCTTCAGAGACATCACCTCAGCGTGCCAGCACCTGGCCTTGTGGCTGGCACACATTCGAAGTTCAGTAAATAACTGTTAATTGATATATACTCTGTGCCAGGGGGACTTTCTAAGCCGCTAAATTTCTTCCAACCCCAGGTTTCTAAGATGTGCATCATTAAAAAATAAGTTTTTGCAAGTACCGAAGCTTACCAGTGGTTTTTGCTAGGGCATATATAGGCTGATCCAATTTTCTTTGCTCTTTCTCTGCCTGTGATTAAGCAGAAATGGGCCTGTTCCTAATGAATGCCAGTTTGAATTGTGTTCCATCAAACCTCATGTGCGATCGGTGGGCAGCAGGAGCTGTTGGCACACACACTCCCACCCTCCTGTAATAAGCTTCCACCTTGGTAAGAACCCAGACTCTGCAGGCTCCCTTCCCCTTCAGCCCCTTAACGTCTGAAGACTTGGCCAGTAGAAATCTTTTACTTTCAAATCCCTTTGAGGAAAGACCCTTCACCCGCTTCCCACCAATCTGGACTTGGGGCAGAGCAGGAGTTTGGCCATGGGGAGTGAGGGCAGAGGTGAGGAGGCAGCAGTCCAGGCTCAGTCCCTGCTCTCCTATTTAGCTGTGACTAGGAAAACCACTTGACTTTTATAAGGACCAAGGGTATCGTGGGATTGGCTGAGTTTAGGTGTCAGAATTTCTTCCTGACCCTGGCTGGAATAGTGACTGTTACCAGCATGGGGATAACAGGGCAGAGTTCTTCTGACTGGGGAGTGGTCCTCTAGTTGAGGTTATATAAGGAGCCAAGCAGGAGAAGTGAGAAGGACTCACCGTTCTGCAACCAGAGCAGCTTCACTCTTAGCATTTTCACGTATGTCATTCTCGTGAGGACATACAGTGAAGAAAACACAGGGTTCTGCCACTATGCATGTTAGAAGACCATGACTCAAGTCCAACTGTTGCATGCTTTGATATATCAATTAAGGTCCAGAGGAGAGGGCACTGATGGGAGGTAATGGACTATAAACTGGAAGAGACAGATGTGCCAGAGCCTTCCATCAACTTTAGGGATTCTGATTATTAAGTCAGACCCTCTTACTATAATTCTGAATTCTCTCCACCATCGTCTTCTTCCCCGACCTAATTCATCCTCTTCAGTGATCAGCTAAGTGACCAATCTGAGTAATGGATGTTAGATAATAATCTTCAGTAATAATCAGATGTCGTAAAGTGTTCTTCATCTGTGCCTTTTAGATGTTTCCATTTATACAAGTTGAACAAGTAGCCAGTGTCCCAACAGCAAACATGGGCCAGGAAATTCAGCCATGGAACCTGAGTCCCTCACTCATCCTCTGAATGGACCTTGTCATGTTGTGTCATATGTGTGTGTGCTTATATATGAGAGTGTTTCCAAAAAGTTCATGGAAAATAAAATTAAAGTATGAGTTTGTTTTGGTGAAAAAACGTTTCAAAATCTATGCATAGTTTTTCATAATACACATTTTTTTTTTCATGGACTTTTTGGAAAACCCCTCTACTGGTTTCTTTGCAAGAATTAAATTCTGAAACAAAGACTTGACCTAAGGGATGAAGGGAAGAACAAAATAAGAAGCAGCTTCTAATAAACTCACGTGTCACCCTTCGGTAAAAAGCTTTACACATGAGTAAAGTTAGATTAATTGAAGGAGGCCATCAGCTAGTTAGTAGTGAACCTCTGTTTGAACCCAGGTATCCTAGTCCCCAAAGAGGCTCCATCCTGATGCCTCTCAGCAAGGAGACCTAAATATCCAAGCCTGGGAGCTATTGCCAGGCCTCTCCTCTCCCATCTCACACCCACTCTAAGAATGTTTTCTCTAGCTCCCAGACTCCAGGGAATAGAGAGGAGTTGCCAGTATCACTGAAGCTAAGTGAATTTTTTCACCTTTGTCTGGACTGAATCACATTTCCACCAGATTTAAATAGAAGCCTTTAAACTCCTGTATCTTCTTCCTTCCCCGAAGAGAAACTTCTCTTTACCTAGATTGTTAAAATTCCTCAGGTAGGGGCACCACCTTGGCAGGTCCAGCTGGCCTGGGTAGCTGAAACAACACATTTATTCTCATAGCTCTGGAGCCTGGGAATGCCAAGATCAGGGTACTGAAGGATTCAGCAACTGGTGAGGACCTTCTCCCTAGTTTGCAGATGGTTGCCTTCTTGCCGTGTCCTCACATGGAGGCGAGAGGGAGGAAGCATGCTCTCTCCTGCCTATTCTAAGGGCACTAATGAGGGCTCCACCTTGACCTAATCACTTCCCAAAGGCCTCCACCTCCACATACATGCCATCATCTTGGTAAACAGGGTTTCAACAAATGGATTTTGAGGCACAGCAAGTATCTAGGTATAAATAGAGAGAGATCCAGGTTTAGAATGAAAAAACCTGGGTTCAATTCCTTCTTCTGCCTCTTATTTACTACACAATCCATGGCACATTGCATCACTTGTTGAGTTTTTGTTTTCTCATGTGAAAAAGAAACAAAGGATTATTATGAAGAGAACTAATTTCTTGTAAGTTATTGTGCTGCATAAACTGTAAAGCAGCCTACGAATGCTTTCACAGTGACAGATGGCCTCGGCAATACTACAGCTTTAGGTACTAAAATTAACATTCTAAGTTTGACTCAAGGTGAAGGCAAAGTAGGACTCAACTAGAAGTGAGTCAGCAACAGTAGGTTGCTTCTGGGGCTCCCCACCTCAGGGCGTGGTGCTATACTCGTGAAAGTACACTTTAAGGTGTCTCCATTGCTCCTGATCCAAACAAGAACCCAACCTCTCTAACCTCAGATGAGGCTAAGATTTAGGGGTTGAGGGAGGGCCATAAAAGGAAAGAGTCCAGCCCATCAGATCTGGTCTCTCATCTTAACCTCACAGAACCCCTAGTTCAAAGCATCCCTAGATGTGCTCTCTCATCTTAACCTCACAGAACCCCTAGTTCAGACTATGTCTGAAAGAACTTCCTAGAAATTGTTCCAGTCCTTCTTCATTCATCTTGTATTCTGGGTACTTCTATCTGCAGGTGGACACAGGGAACATGGAGCATCTTTACATTATTTCTTTAGTTTTTAGTTAAGTAATAGCATTTCCTAGTGTTATGAGTTGAATGATGTCCACCAAAAAAAATATGCACAAGTCCTAACCCTGGTACCTATAAATGTGACTGTTTTTGGAAATACAGTCTTTGCAGATGTAACCAAGGTATGATGAGGCCATACTTAATTAGGATGACCTCTAAGTACAGTATGACTGGTGTCCTAATAAGAAGAAGAGAAGAAATATAGATAGACACAGAGGGACGGCAGCCACTTGAAGACAGAAGCAAAGATTGAAGTGACACTGGCACAAGTCAAGGAAAACCTGGGGCCACAAGGAAGGATTCTCCCCTAGAAGCTTTGGAGAAAACGCAGCCTGCTAATTTGATTTGTAAGCTTGATTTCAAAATTGTGAGTAGATACATTTCTGTTATTTTGAGCTGCCCACTTTGTGATACTCTTGAAACTAATATGTCTTGGATTCTACTATAACTCTGGAATATGGCTGAACTCTAGGGTTACAAAATAAAATAAAACATGGTCCCTCCTCTCAAAAATTGTGTTTTATACTTATAGTATGCCCAAGTAGTACAGCTTTGGCTGGTCCAGTTCCTTTGGAATATGGAAAAACATGAATATATATATTTTTCCATTCTGTGTCAATTTAATCTTTTTTCATCTTTTTTTCATGATTTGGATAGGAAAGAATGCATTTACCAAATCAATGGCTCTTACTATGTACCTAAGGCAATTTTAATCTGCTCCAGCAGTAATACCACATCTGGCAAAGCATCTTTGATTGAAGGTAATGGTTGGCTGAGTTTGTGGTAGTCTACAGGCATCCTCCAGAATCCATCTGGTTTCTGCAGGAAGCAGATTGCTGTATTAAATGGAAATGTGAGAAAGACCATCACTCCTT